TACCCCACTATAGCCTACACAATAGTATAAGCTATATAGTTCTGACACACCCCCATAGGCAAAGTGGGGGAGAACAAGGGTCACAAGACCAGTCAAGCAAAGCAAAGCAAAGCTCAGGGTGGATCACAAAGTCACCACACATTCCGAGCACAAGTTCAAGGCCACAGGCCAGTTCACATGCAAGATCATATATAGAGATATACAAGAGTCAAGCAAGCAAGAGCAAGAGTATATATAGGCGAAGGTACAAGCAAGGTCAAGAGGAGAGCAAGTGAGGCAAGACAGGCACAAGACCCAACTGCGTGCAACAACGCTGATGATCACAAGGCGCAAGTGCCTTGGTGAAGACATCAGCAGTGTTGGCCTCAGAGGCCACGTACGCAAGTCGCAACTGTCCACGCTGCTGTAGCTCACGAGCAAGAAAGTAGCGGAGAGCAATGTGCTTCGTTCTGTGCTCCAGTCGCTGCTCTCGACACAAGGCCAGCATGGCCTTGTTGTCTACGTACAGGACTGGAGGAGAACGAGGCTGCTCTCCAAGGTCGGTCAGCAGGTAGGTGAGCCAGCGTAACTCCTGTGCAGCCATAGCCCCGGCGTAGATCTCAGCCTCACAACTGGAGCCGAGAACAGAAGACGAGCGGGTAGCCCGCCACGAGACAGAGCCGGAACCAAGGCTGAAGGTGTAACCCTGTGACGACCGCTGCGTAGCCTGGTCGTCAGCCCAAGAAGCGTCGCGCGTGCCCAGTGAGGACCACTGGACTGCGCCCTCCAAGCACTAGCCCCATGCCCGACGTACTGCACAAGTAGCGCAACACCCTCTTCGCTGCAGCCATGTGCTCTGGTCGGTGTCTCCCAGGAGCAACATAGCGTGCGAGAATGCTAAGAGGGTATGCAAGGTCAGGTCGTGTGCAGGTCATCAGGTACATGAGGCAGCCAACAAGCTCTGCATACGGGCCACTCGACTCTACGGACTCATCCGAAGGCAGAGCTGAGAGCGAGTGGCGAGTAGGCAGAGGAGTGGCCTGAGGCGAGGAGTACGTGAAGCCGAAGCGCTGAAGGACCTGCTGCACCATGTGTGACTGAGTCAGGGTAATGGTGCGGCGTGCTCTGTCCCGGGTGATCTGCAAGCCAAGGTAGCTGCGCAGTTCACCCAGGTCAGTGCACGTGTGTCTCTTCTGCAGCTCGGACTTCACGTAGGCGAGTCCAGCAGTGTCAGCTGTGGCAAAGACCAAGTCGTCGACGTACACGAGGATGTAGAACGGCGGCAGAGAGGTGTCGGTGCGCAGAAACAGCGACGGGTCGGCAGTAGAAGGAGCAAACCCAAGTGCCGCGAGCGTAGTCCTCAGTGTGTCGTGCCACTCACGTGGCGCCTGGCGGAGACCGTAGACTGGACGCCGGAGGACTCCACTGGGTACCAGGAGGGAAAGACCCAGTGAAGCCAGGTGGGCGACGCAGCCAGATCTCCTCGTGCAGGCTGCCCTGCAAGAAAGCTGTGCTGAAGTCGAGAGAGTGCAGCTCGTAGTCACGGTGAGCAGCAACGTGCAGCAGAACCCGAAGAGTGGTCATCTTCGGGGTGGGGGAGAAGGTCTGAAAGTAGTCAAACCCCTGCCGCTGACTGAAGCCACGAGCCACGTAACGCGCCTTGAAGACAGGCGGAGAACCCGGCGGCCGCTTCACCCTGAAAATCCACATGCCACTGACGATGTTCGCCCCAGGAGGGGGAAAAACAGCGTCAACGTAGGTGCCTGTGGACTTCCAGGAAGCCATCTCTGCATCCATAGCTGCCTGCCACTGAGAGGAGTAGGGACCCTCTATCGCCTCCGCGTAAGAGCGCGGAGTCGGGATGTCTGGTGCATCCGGGTCTCCCTCAGGGGCTAGCAGTACAGACGCGAGACGAGGTGAAGCGGCGGCCAGACACTGGAACTCCTCCTGCCTGTCCTCAAGGACGTCCGTGCCAAGGGCACACTCCCCCGACGGACGGAGGACAGGCGGACTCAGACTCAGTGACAAGACGAGCAGCGTAGTCTAGACGACAGCGCGCAGCAAAGTCGACAAGCTCAGTGACAAGGGCAGACGCAGCAGACGACTCGAAGGAAGGGTCAGTGACAGCAGTAGCAAGGAGACGCGTGACAGTAGGACTGGCAGCACGAAGAGAGTCCGACTCCGGGTCGGCAAGAGCAGGAAGAGAGGAAGCAGGAGGAGAAGGCAAAGGGGCACGCAGAGGAGCAGTGGACGGACGCAGTGACATCCGGTGCGTGCCAGGGACAGGAGGAGGACGCTGACGCGACCCGCGACCACTAGCGCGCTCAGTACGAACAGGCGACGCAGGACGAGACGCAGGCTCACGACGCTCAGTAAGACCTCCAGTCGGACCAGTGTAGGGAGAAGGAGCAGGCAAAGGGGAGGCAGGCTGTAGCTGTGGCTGTGACCGGACAGGCTGCGGACCCTCTAAGGAGGAGGAGGAGGAGGAGGCGGAAGACCAAGAACCTGCTGCAGGAGCGGAACGAAGTACGGTCGGGGCCGCGCGGCGACACCAGAAACAGCAGGAACAGCACCAGCAGCCCCGGCAGGAGCACCCACTCCAGCAGCACCTCCAGCAGCACCACCAGAAGCTCCAGAACCTCCAGCAGCAGCACCAGGAGCACTGTCAGTCGGACCGCCAACGGCAGGCTCAGCGCCAACACCCTCAGCAGCACCAGCTCCAGGAGAACTCTCAGACCCAGCAGCTCCAGCACCCACAGTACGAGCACCGCGGGACGCGAGGCAGCAGTACCCTCTGCAGCGAAGAACCACCAGCACCAGCAGCACACCTCCAGCGCCTGGCAAACCACTCACGCAGCTCCTGTGGGGAGAGTGGCTCCCGGCGAGACGAAGCACCCCCAGGCACAGCACCCCCAGGCTCAGCACCCCCAGGCACAGCACCCCCAGGAGCACCTCCAGGCTCAGCACCCCCAGGACACAGCACCCCCAGGCTCAGCACCCCAGGCACAGCACCCCCAGGCTCAGCACCCCCAGGCTCAGCACCCCAGGCTCAGCACCCCCAGCTAGCACCCCCAGGCTCAGCACCCCCAGGCTCAGCACCCCCAGACTCCGCACCCCCAGGCTCAGCTCCCGCAGCAGCACCAGAGTCACCAGTGACCTCGACAGGCTCGACCGCGATGCGTCTACCTGGGACACACCTGAAGGGGCAGGACCCTGAGGGGGAGGGGGACTACCGGGGGGGGACCTGGTACCAAGAAGAGCGGGGGTGGGGGGAGGGACGGAGTGCGGTAGGGGAAGAGGCGGTAGTAGGGTACCGACTCGTCGAACGTGACGTCCTGGGAGGACAGAACACGTCGAGAGGTGGGGTGGTAAAACTGCCACCCAGGGGCGTCGGGGGGGAACCCAGGAAGACGCAGGGAGAAGCACGAGGGGACAGCTTGTCCGCAGACAGGTCGCGAACAAACGCCCGAGATCCCCAGACCCGGAACGCCGACGCATCGCCAACCTTCCCCGTCCACAGCAGGGCTGGGGAGGTCTCCGGTCGAGAGACCCTGGGGTGGAGGTTGATCTGGTGCGCAGCGTACCTGACCGCAAACGGCCACAGAAAATGGGGAGCAGCCGCATGCATCATGGACGTACGAGCGACGTCCATGACCATGCCAATGCGGCGCTCAGCAATCCCATTCTGCTGTGGTGAGTCCGGAAGCGTGAAGGTCTGACGGATGCCTCGTGCACGACAGTAGGCACTCAGGAGGCCAGAGGAGAACTCTCCGCCTCTGTCCGAGTGCAGACGCAAAACAGGGAAGTCAGAGCCAAAGCTCCTCCGAAGCTGGAGACGAGCTGCGCGGATCCAGTCGATCAACACCGCAGTGACCTCACCCTTGCTGCGCAAGGGGAAGACTGTGGTGTAACGCGAGTAGTCGTCAACCACAGCAGGAAGTAGTAGCGCTCCTGACCCTGTCCACGGACGCGGGCTGGGCCCCCACACGTCCATGTGAAGCGTCTGCAACGGGGCCTCTGTCGGAGGAAACTGGGAGGAGTGAGGGGCAGCACGCTGGCGCCCCTCGACACAGGGGACACAGGTAGGGCCAGGGCCGGAGGAAGGGGAGGGAGAGACCGGGGAAGACCAGACACAAGGACTCGCGAGGCCATGCCTCTGAGCCGAAGCAGAGAGGGGTGGCCAAGGCGGTGGTGCCAGAGGAGGGTCTCGTGAGACAGACGACGACACGAGCAGGGGGCAGACTCAGGACCAGACCTGGACGCTGCAGCAAACACCTGACCAGACGAAGGGACCCTACCAGACTCAGCACCTGGAGGAGAAGCAGTGGTCAGTGTGTACAGGCTCGACCCTGGCCGACGTGTAAACGTAGCCAGGTGGCGACCTGTATCCGCCTCCGTGCAGTGGGTCACCCGCTGACGAGCAGGGGTGAACTGGTGGACACCCGCATCCTGGAGGTCAGCACCACTCACCAAGTTCGTCGAGAACGAGGGGAGGTAGAGACCAGTCAGGGTGCCAGAGGGGCCGCGGACACGGGAGGACAGTGGAGAAGCGAGGACAGGACAGGCCCCCAGAGGGGTCAGCCAGGGACACCGCAACCGGCCGACTCAGCGGCGTGAGAGTGGTGCGGTCCCTAAAGAAGGAGCGAGACGCTCCAGAGTCAAGGGTGAAGGTGTGAGAGGCCGAAGCCGACACAGTACCTGAGAGGGCAGACTCACCAGCACCTGAGAGCACAGACGCACTGGCACCTAGAGCAGCAGCCTCACTAGTACCTGACGCGGCAGTACCAATGCCCGGGTCGGGCGGGAAACACCGGTAACAGTCATCCTCATCACTACCAGTCACAGCATACATAGCAGAGAGAATAGCATCAAAATCAAGATCATAAATAGCTACACCAGCCCTAGACAGCTCTCCCCAGCGGGGGATCTCAGCGGCCTCCGGAAACTGCTGACGCCAGGCGTCGGTCAGGCGGCCAAAGCAGCGGGGGCTGTGTGGGCGCCTCCACACTCTCCCCGCACGGTCACCTGTGCGAAGAACGTAGGGGCAGGGACCAAGCGCACCCACACGCTGACGCTGCAAGTACCACTCACGGAGCTGCTGAGGGCCGGGGGACGGTGCGATGAGCGCTGCTGCTGCTGTGGCTGCTGCTGCGGCTGCTCTGTTGCTGCTGCTGCTGCTGGCGCTGACCACCCCCAGAGCTGCTCCGCTGGGACGAGCCACTCCGACCCCCGCCTCCACGCGCCACCCCGCCTCCACCGCCACCCCCGTCTCCACCGCCACCTCCCCCACCAGGACCGTCGCTCCCACCGCTCCCACCGCCTCCTCCGCTACCACCTCCGCCGCCACCTCCGCCTCCACCGCCGCCACAGTACCTCCACTCCCGCCACACCCCCACCGCCACCCCCACTCCCCCGCCACCCCACCGCCTCCTCCACCGCCCCCTCGAGCTCCACCCGCCCCTTGCCCCCTTGCCTTGCCAGAGCGGCGTCTGCCGCTGGGGGCAGACGCCGCGCCGACCGACTCAAAACAGTGAGGTCGGCCGCAGCGGCAGAGGCGACAGAGGGCAGCAGGGGGAAGGACCACACCCCTCAAAGATGGGGGTGCGAGGGTCACCCGAGAGGCCCCTACAGCGACAATACTCTTCTCAGCCGCTAGCAGGGACTCCTCAAGGAGGTCGACAGTGAGAGTGGTGGGACAGACAGAGAGAAACTGGTCCCTAACGACACGAAGGGACTCAGGGAGACGGGTGACGAGAAAGTAGAGGGTGATGTACATGGGAGGAGGGTTCGCAGCGCGGAACTCAGCAGGAAGGCAGCGCGGGGGTAGCGGGTGTCACTAGCACGGAGGTGGGTAACGAGGTCAGCGACAGTGGGAAAGGAAGCGAGGTCAGGGAAGAGAAACGGTAGCATGAGGCGGCTAAGGGTAGCGGAGGAAGGGGAGGAGATAGCGTGCAACTACAGCGCGGTACAAGGCCTGAGCGGTCTTGCACTGACTAAAGTGGGCACGCTCAGAGGAAGGGAGGTGGCGACGCACAGCAAGACGTGCAAGCAGCATCGCGGGTCGCCCACTTGGAGCGAACGGCAGAGTCAGCATCAGCAGGGGGGCAGGGACAGCGCCAGAGACAAAGTCAAAAGAGAGACCTCATCTATCGCATCACACAGTAAGTACAGCTGCAGGTCTTCAATCCAGACGGCAAAGTCAATGGCCCTCCCCTCAGCGTCAAAAGTAAGAAACATTGGGGGTGGCCATGGCAGCAGCTGGAAAGTCTCACCGGCTGGGAGAGTCGGGTAGGTAAGCAGCAGGCAGAAACACAGCTCAGGAACAGCAGCACGGCGGCTCGGGCGGATCGGGCGGCTCGGGCGATGGGCGGTTCGGGCGGCTCGGCGG